GGATGAGCTTTTTCAGGAGGACTATGAACATGGTGAGAGCTTTACTGCAGCCCCTGGCCTGTAGACGTCTGTTTAGCCATGCAGACGAGATTGCCTCACGATTTCTGCAGAGAGACACATCCATGCTGGAGATCATGAGCCGTGCAGCTATCTCATTAATGCGCTTTGACTTTGACTGGGAGTTTCCTCGACCAGTGATGCCTAACATGGTCATGATTGGAGGATTTTCTGTCACTAAACCAAAACCTTTGTCACAGGTAAGCTTTTAAAATGACATTGCCATGGCAGATTCTTCCAACAAGTTCATAAAAGCTTGTGAGGTTGTGGGTTTTTTCTTAATTGTGTTTTCCACACTGTTTAGGTTGGACCAGTCATTATGTGGGATGTTTATTAACTAATCTTGTCTTTGGTCCAAAACTGCTCATTTCTTCTCCCAACATACCTTTGGCGATTGTGGCCAAAGGGTTTAATTTTTATCTTATCAGTCATTTTATTTTAAAATGCCTCTAGCTTATCTAGATGTTAGTTTGTATATGTCAGACATTGACTTTTGTGCTGAGGTCACAGGCTTTTCTTCTTATTAACCTCCATGCAGATCATGGTTGTGCAAAAAACTCTATAGGACGCAACGGTGCACTACCACTCCTGTGCCATCTAGCCCTTCCTTCAGTTTGTTTGCTGTCATATTAGCTTTGCCATTGTGGCCAGCATACAAGCAGTTGCATCTGTGAGTTTTCTTAGTCCTCCAGATCTTGCCTTGACTTGCACAGTTCCCCTTAATTGCCATTTCTTGACATTTTGGACAGTGGACATTGCATGCTAGTAGTTCTTTGATATCTTTCAATAGTCTTTTGCTGCTTTGTAGGCTTTAATTAGCTTTACTTTCACATCCTGAGTAGCTGCTTAGAGGCGCCCATGGTTGTTGAGTGTTAGCACAAGTGTTGAAGTGTCAGACAGTTTGTTTTGATCTGGAATTGTCATCAGCTGACAATTCCTAATGAAAATACTTGACCTGCCTGCCATGCGTGTCTGCATGTTCCAACCAATGAGTTTATACACCATGTATATGCTATACAGTCAATGAGTATATTTCATATATATCATATATCAAGTCAATGAGTGCATTTGTCTGTGGTGTATCTTAGTGTATATCTCATATTTATCAAATATATGGTCAGTGAGTGTATATATCATATCTATAGTCAATGAGTGTGTATATCATATATCCAGTCAATAGGGAAGTTTATTCATATAGCACCTTTCATACACTGCTGTAATTCAAAGTGCTTTAAAAATGAGAAAATACAGAGTCATTTAAAGTAAAATAAAAGAGAATAGAAATTAAAAATATGATTAAAACAATGGATTTGAAAGAGAAAATCATTAAATTGAAAATGAAATTAGGAATTAGGATATTTAAAAAATAAATTAAAAGTTAAATTTGAATTTAAAAAATGCTGTGACAGAGGAGCAGGTCTCGAAATGCTAAGTGTTCAAACAAATAGGAACGTTTTCAGGCCGGATTTTAGTCTCCTCTGTCAGGGCTCTTCTAATGCTCTCTGTATAGTATCTAAATGCTGCTTCTCCATGTTTAATCTTCTCCTATGGTAGGACTAACTCAATATATTGCTGACAAGCTTAATTTGTGTGAAAGGCACAGTTGAATGTTTTCAGTCTATTTTTTAAAAAAGGTTAATATTCTGAGCACATCTCACAGCTTCAGGAGGTTTATTCTAACTGACGGAGGCATAATGGCTCAATGCTGCCTGAGGCTCACTTTGGGCCTTTATTTCACCAGCCTATCAGTAATGTAAGTAGGACCTTGTCCATGTAATGATTTATAAATAGGAAGCAGTTTTTGAGATCTGTTATGGATTTGATATGGCTGTTGAAGTGAGTTCTGAGTCAACTTGGACTCTGAGGTTTTTGACTTGTGTTTTTGCATTTAAAGCCTTACAACTTAGGCAAGCAATCACCTTCCATCCATCCATCATCTAAACCGCTTATCCTTCTGGGTCGCGGTGGGGTGCTGGAGCCTATCCCAGCTGTCATCGGGCGGAAGGCAGGATACAATTACAGACCAGTTACAGGAGTTCAAGCAATCACCTTCCTTTTTCCAAAAATTATTACTTCCTTTTTTTGTCTTTGTTTAGCCATTGAGGCACTTCCGGTTTCAATGAGTTTGATGCATGTACACAGAAAGTCTATAAGACTGTAGTCGTCAGGTGAACAGGTGATGTAAATCTGGCTGTCGTGCAATTTTATGGTCCTGCAGAATTTGGCCAAGTGCATTTTACTTGAGTCAAAGTTTAGACAGATGTCATTTAGGATCTTAACCAAAGCCATTTCATTACTGTGATATGGGTGAAAACCAGGCTGAAAATGATCAGAGCAGCTATTTCAGTTTAAGAAGTGGTTGAGCTGCATAAGTACAACTTTTTCCTGTGATTTTACCCTAAAAAGGGAGATTAGAAATGGGTCTGTAATTGCTAAGGGAACTGCAATTGCAGCGGGATCTAGATCTTCTTTAAAAGTGGTTTAAAAACTGGTCTTCAGTGATTCTGGAAAAATACCTGAGGTTGATGAGTTATTTACTATTTGAAGAGGATTTGTTTTCAAGCAGTCAAAAATGTCTTCGAGGAACTTTGCAGGTAAGACGTCAAGGCAGCAAGAGGACAGCTTTAAGTTTTCCTTGAGAATTTTGACACTGATAATACTAAATTCAGACATTGTAACTAGATTTTTTCTGTGCTGTATTATGTGAGGAGCAGCTTGATTTACTTGCAGTTGGGTCACTGTGGCCTGTGTGATGCCTGTTATGTTGTCTTTGAAAAAAGCAGCAAATTCAAAATTGCACTTAGAGACTGAGAGAAATGCAGGTTCCAGAACTATAGGGGGCTTTTGTTAACAGTGACAAAGTTCGAGTTATTTGTGTTTTAGTTTATAATGTCAGAAAAGAAGGACTGTCTGGCTATTTTTGTTTCTGAGTTGTAATTTTAAGGCTTTGTCTGTACATATCATAGTGAACGTCGAGGCTAGTTTTTCTCTATTTGCGTTTAGCTTTTCCGCATTGTGTTGTTAGAGCTTTCACTGCTTCTTCACCCCTCCAGGGAGACTTGTGAGATTTTCGTCTACAATAAGTGTATATATCATATACAGTCAATGAGTGTGTATATATTATGTATTGTACATACATCAATGAGTGTATAAATCATATAGATATCCTATATACTATCAGTGGTTCAGCTCCTTTGTGATTGTAGCCTCTCGCTCTCGGCCACACAGCTCATGAATTCCTGTCACAGTGGAGGATCTCGAGGGGAACTGGAGCAGTTTGCTTGTCACTGAAACACTGTCCAAGCCAAATCTTTTTGGTGATAAACAAGCTCACCACGGCAATAAGTACAAACAGCTTTAATCAAGAGAGCCATCAATGGAATGCATTTCCTATTCACCCTCCTGCTGTGCTGAAATGCCTTACCTAAATTATCACTGGGGTGGCACATTCATTTCTTTCTCAATCTGTTCATAATAGCCTGTTACCATGATAGGCTTCCTACAATAGTCATTGTTGTCATGGACTTAATTCTCAGTCACACTCAGTTTCTAACAATAGGGATTGGTCTTCATTGGTTAATCTAAATACTTATGTCCAGTTACAGGATCATTACTCTATTCAGTACTCATTATTGTACAACCCCAATCCCAGTTGGGACGCTGTGTAAAATGTAAATAAATATAAATACTCATTTAGAACTTGTTGGCAGCAACGCATCTCAAAAAAGATGGGACGGGGTAACAAATGGCTGGAAAACTAAGTGGTACTAATAAAAAAACAGCTGGAGGAGCAATTGGCATCTAACTCACATGACTGGATATGGAAAGAGCATTTTAGAGAGTCAGAGTCTCTCAGAAGCAAAGATGGGCAGAGGTTCACAAATCTGTGAAAAATTGTGGAACAAGTTCAAAATATGTTCCTCAGCGTAAAATTGTGAAGACTTTGGATATCCCACCATCTACAGTACGTAATATCAAAATATTCTGAGAATCCGGAGAGATCCCTGTACACGAGGGACAAGGCCGACGGTCAGTATTGGGTGCTCGTGATCGTCAGACCCTCAGGCACCACTGCATTGAAAACAGGCATGATTCTGTACTGGAAATCACTGCATGAGCTCAGGAACACTTTTGGAAATCACTGTCTATGAACAAAGTTCACTGTGCAAGCCACAAATATAAGTTAAAGGCATATCATGCAAAGAAGCAGCCATAGGTCAACACGGTCCAGAAACGCTGCCGTCTTCTCTGGGCCAAAGCTTGTTTAAAAAACTGTTCTGTGGTCAGATTAATCAAAATTTGAAATTCGTTTTGGAAACCATGGACAACGTGTCCTGCAGACTCAAGAGGAGAGGGACCATCGAGCTTGTTATCAGTACACAGTTCAAAAGCCTGCATTTCTGATGGTCTGGGGCTACATTAGTGCCTATGGTGTGGGCAGATTACACATCTGGAAAGGCTCTATCAATGCTGAACTGTATATAGAAGTTTTAGAACAAAATATGCTCCCATCCAGACAGCGTCTCTTTCAGGGAAGGCCTTGCATATTTCAGCAAGACAATGCTAAACAACATATTGCATCCATCACAACAGCATGGCTCCACAGAAGACTCTGGGTGCTGAACTGGCCTGCAGTCCAGACCTTTCACCAATAGAAAACATTTGGCACATCATGACACGAAAAATCCTGCAAAGAAGACCCAGGACTGTTGAGCAGCTAGAATCCTACATCAGACAAAAATGGGACAACATTCCTCTCCCAAAACTCCAGCAATTGGTCTCCTCACTTCCCAGACGTTTACAGGCTGTTGTTAAAAGAAGAGGGGATGCTACACAATGGTAGACACGGCCCTGACCCAACTTTTCTGAGATGTGTTGCTGCCATCAAGTTCTAAATCAGTTAATCTTTTATTTGATATGTAAAATGTCTCACTTTCAAAATCTGATATGTGTTCTATGTTCTATTGTGAATAAAACATGGGTCTGAGATTTGCAAATCATTTGCATTCTGTTTTTGTTTACATTTATTTACATTTTCCACAGCATCCCAACTTTTTTGGAATTGGAGTTGTAATCGATGCCTGGACCCATATTTTTTTAAAGCTGCTTTGTGATGACACTAATTAGAAATAGTGCTATACAAATGCATTTGAACTGAATTGTATGAATCTTCAATATTTAAACAAGTGTGCAACAGTCATCGCAGTGCCATGTGAACAGCGTGGCTTCAGCCTTCATTGAACAGATGGGTCAAAATATGACACTAGAATGTGTTAACATTATTAAAACATTTGTAGCCTTAAAAACTGAATGCATTGTAAACACAGTTTTGCATAAAGCACTAAAGCACAAACTAATGTTAAAATGTAACCTGAATTCTTTTCTGACACAGAGACGTGGGTTATTGCGATTAATGATTGATGACTGAATTTTGAAGTCTTATGTAATGTTTCTGAAATTTGTTGGGTTGCCAAAGCACCTGTTAGTTGCAAATGCAAATGAGCTTTAACTGTCTACATTCAGTCTGGTGTTTTAGTAGCTGAAAGAGATTGATGTTTCTGTACATGGTGGGTTAATTTTTTGCTTGAAGTAGACAAATCCTGTCTGTTCTAGTCTGGTGGCTGTCAAAGGTAGGATGAAGTTCACTATATATCACTGAAGTAGGTTTACCTTATCTCTAAACTCGGTGTTGAGTAAACGTGTGGGTTAATATACAGTTCATGTTAAAATGACTGTACATTAACCCACATGCTTACTCAGCACTGCGTTTTAAACAAAGGTACATCTACTTCAGTGATATATAGTGGACTTCATCCTATGGAGTACAGCCTAGGACTGCTTTCTGCATGATCTCCACAATCTGAACACAAGGTATTGGGATTTTGATGAAGATGGCTGGCATGCAGATGATGTTGTGTCTTTTCTGCCTGGGTTCAGTTCAGGCTGGGAAGCTGTTAGTGATTCCAGCAGATGGGAGCCACTGGACTGGGATGAAGCCTTTAGTGGAGGAGCTGGGAAGGAGAGGGAATCAGGTGGTGGTTGTCATTCCAGAGGAAAGTCTCAGTATGGGTCCTTCAGAACATACAACCACGCTTACATTTCCTGTACCCCACACTAAAGCTGAGATAGAAGAAGTTTTATCCTCCAGCCTTTACGATATTGTTAGTATAGACACATCTACTGATCTGGGAGGACTTCTGATTTCTTTCCTCACTGTGGAGACACTTAAGACTTGGACAGTACAAAATGCAGAGAGCTTACTGTACAACAAGGAGTTGATGAAGACGCTGAAAGACTGGGACTTTGACGCCATTCTCACAGACCCTTTTGAGCCTCTGGGAGCCATCGTTGGTGAATTCCTCAACATCTCGTCCATTCATATTCATGTTAACCATCCATGCAGTGCTCACTTTCTGGCCAGCCAGTGTCCAAGTCCAGTTTCCTATATCCCACATCGATATACTCAGTATTCTGACCGGATGAGCTTTTTCAGGAGGACTGTGAACATGGTCAGAGCTTTGCTGCAGCCCCTGGCCTGTAGACGTCTGTTTAGCCATGCAGACGAGATTGCCTCACGAATTCTGCAGAGAGACACATCCATGCTGGAGATCATGAGCCGTGCAGCTATCTCATTAATGCGCTTTGACTTTGACTGGGAGTTTCCACGACCAGTGATGCCTAACATGGTCATGATTGGAGGATTTTCTGTCCCTAAACCAAAACCTTTGCCACAGGTAAGCTTTTAAAAATGACATTGCCATGATTAATTTTTCTAACAAGTTAATGAAAGCTTTTCACAAATGTGAAGTTTTCTGTGATCATATTTTTTGTGCTGTTTAGATTGGATCAGCTGTGGTGTGGAATGATTTTTAACTAGCTGTGCTCTTGGTGCAAAATGTAATATTAACCCTATATCTGCCCACGCACCTTTACGTAACTTAAAGCAGCAATCGCCAACCATGCTCCTTTTTTTCCTATTTACAGTGCCTGACAAATGATTCTTTTGCATCTGTGGGCTCATCTGAGAAAAAAGGGATTTTTCAGAATATTCCAGTCTAGTTTTAACCCTCTACATAGTACAGTGACATTATCGGCCATAAGCTCCTCGTTAAGCGTCTTAAACATGTGTTGAGTTTTTAATGGAGCAGAGCTAAATTGGTTCACATCCTATCTTTGTTATAGGATCTTTGCAGTTTATGTTGTCGATTTCTCTTCATCTGTCTCTACCATCAGCTATGGTGTCTACTGTTGTGGTGAGTTATTAGCTTGTAGTGCTTAGGTGTTAGCATGCTATTTACTTATTTGTAGAGCTAGGCCTTCATTTTTTGCCATAAATGTCAAAGCTCGGAAACAAGGAAAAAACACTTCTACGATAATATACGTGTGTATATATATATATATATATATATATATATATATATATATATATATATATATATATATATATATATATATATATGTATGTATATATATGATAACTGGTACATGTAAGCTCAAGTATACATTAAAGTGTATTCGAGCTTATCTGTATCAGTTACAGTAACTCAGTAAAGAGTTCTGACATAGAGCTGCCGCCACTGTTTTCCATTCCTAACAACTAACTGAAATCTGCTCAGACCACAGTTCATATTCACTGTCTGTGACATATGTAGAACTTTCAGAAGACATGGATATTATATTTTTTCTCACAAAATTAGTCCCACCCATTGTAAATTAATGCCTGATTGGTTGATTCCTCTGCACATCCAGTTATGTTGGTAGTTAATCTAATTTGTAAGGCTTTCAGTTCAGTTCCCAAAGTCCCTAACCAATGGGAGAGCTTGCTTGACTGCATCTGTGTGGATAACATTAAGAAAAAATCCTGATTGGATCATTGTCCATTGGCAATTTGTTTTCCAACCAAAACTTAACAATGAAACAAGAGTATTGCTACAGTACTTGCAGAGTTTAAATACAACAAGCACAAAGATTCTATTTAATAAAAATGTATTTTTTCACAGAAATCATTTGGTTTTATCTAAAGGCCTAGAAGGCCCTGGCAGTTCCCCTCTGTTTCGTGTTGTAGTGCTGCTAAATACTTAGCGGTTGATGTTACTGTGCTGTGTGTGATTAGCATGATTTGTAAACTGTTTTATGTTTGCACGTGTTCTCATATTGATCACTGCCTGTGCTGCTGCTTTTGTGAATACGAAACAGAGAAAGGTAATTCCTCTACCTCACCCCTGTGCTCTGACCAGCACTTCAGAGTGAACCACACCTGTAGTACAGGCCTTAGAAACATCCCTAACTTAATCAATTTATTCTTTTTTTACTCCGTACATCTGGTGTGACGTCACTACGATGTCAACATCTTTGATGTATTAAGGGGTTGATTTTGTGAGGTATAAATGTATATATCGCTGTTGTCTGAAGAAAACCTCATATCTCCAAAATAGTAACTTTACAGGAGAAGGAAAAAACATACTCTACTTTTAATGTAAGTCAATGGAACCAGACTTTTTTCCAAGTAATTTTGGGTCGTTTCTTTTAGTCCATTCATCATGAGATTCAAACACAATGTAAAGACCAACAGGCATTTTCAAAATGTCAAAAACTGAAAATTGTGAAAAATGGAGATACATGGTTTTCTTCTGACAACAACGATATGTTTCTCATATAATAGCTGTATAGACGTGTATTGAGAAGTGAGAGTGCATAGGCACCTAAAGGTTTAATGTCTGATTGAGTACAGGATTGTAAAAAGTTAGTATTAGAGTATTACTGTAATAGGAGCTTATGAGGCAAAGTAAAAAATTGACCAGAAGGCTTTTTCAGTTTAACACAGATGTATTCATGGTTATTGTAGGTAATGATTGAGCTTAGCTGCTGTTCTATATATGGGCAGAACAGAATATTAGTGCTTCTTCTTGAGCATTATGTAATATGTCTGACTTGTTGGGAAAGCACCTATAAGTTGGACCTTACTGTCCAAATCATTGCCCTGAGTGCTGGTGTTTTATGTGTTGGTGGTGGTCTGCTGGTTTGTGAGTTGGTTTGAGTCATTTTTTGCTTTAGATAAAGCATATATAATGTGAAAAAATGTGGCAGATCTTGTCTGTTCTAGTTTGGCAGCAGCTGATTGCGTGCTGGGTCTGGTTTTTCAACTTTGTCCTCTCTCTGTCTTTTTTTTTTAAACTATGTGTTTGTATAGTAGCCCCCCCTACAATAGCAAGCCCATCCCACATGCTTACTCAACACCATTTCAGAGCAAATATATAACCACTCCAGGAGATATGTAGTGAACTTTATTCAACATGGGACAGAGCTCAGTACCGCTTTGCTTTCAGTGTGATCTCTATAAGGCCGGTAGCAGGTTTTTGATGAAGATGGCTGGCTTACAGTTGCTGTTGTTTCTCTTTTGCCTGGGTTCAGTTCAGGCTGGGAAGCTGTTAGTGATTCCAGCAGATGGCAGCCACTGGACTGGGATGAAGCCTTTAGTGGAGGAGCTGGGAAGGAGAGGGAATCAGGTGGTGGTTGTCATTCCAGAGGAAAGTCTCAGTATGGGTCCTTCAGAACATACGACCACGCTTACATTTCCTGTACCCTACACTAAAGCTGAGATAGAAGAATTCATGTCATCAAGTATGGAAGATATTGTTAGTATGGACACATCCAGTGATCTGAGTAAGTTCAGATTTTTTTTCTTTAGTCTGGATGTGCTCAAGACATTTACACTCAAAAATGCAGAGAGCTTACTGTTCAACAAGGAGTTGATGAAGACGCTGAAAGACTGGGACTTTGACGCCATTCTCACAGACCCTTTTGAGCCTCTGGGAGCCATCGTTGGTGAATTCCTCAATATACCGTCCATTTATATGCAAGTTAATCATCCCTGTGGTGTAGATTTCTTGGCCAGTCAGTGTCCGAGTCCAGTTTCTTATGCTCCACAGAGGTTTACTCACTATTCTGACCGGATGAGCTTTTGGCAGAGGTCTGTGAACATGGTCAGAGCTTTGCTGCAGCCCCTGGCCTGTGGACGTCTGTTTAGCCATGCAGACGAGATTGCCTCACGATTTCTGCAGAGAGAAACATCCATGCTGGAGATCATGAGCCATGCAGATATCTGGTTAATGCGCTTTGACTTTGCATTTGAGTTTCCGCGACCAGTGATGCCAAACATGGTCATGATTGGAGGATTATCTCATAGTAAAACAAACCCTTTGCCACAGGTGAGTTTTAAACGTTTTTTTATATGCTTGACGGTTAACTCTGCAGGTCTTTTGGCTATTCATCAGATGTATGAGCTTATCAACTTATTGATAAGATTACAGTTTATTGCAGTGGTTTGAATTAAAGGAGCAGGTGAAGCAATACAATGAGTAATAAAATTAGCTTTGCCATGTATCTACCTCATCTTGCTTTTCCAGTAGATTGATTTCTAATAAAAGACAAGACAATCATATAGTCAGTAACTTGTTTTGCAAGCTGAAAATAATGTCCTAACACTTTGATTTCCCTAGCTAAGCATAAAGCTGCATTAGCTTTACCAGCTAGCAGTTGAACCCCAAAGCTGTGTTTCTTAGGTTTGATTTCAGCTTAAAGGCATATTAGTTTCCGAATGTTTTGATTATTCCAGCTATACTGGAATTGGTAGGAGGGTTCTCAAGTAGTGATTCATGCCTTTTTACCAAGCAGTGAACTGTTCACCAATATTTATTGTGCATCCTACAGTTGTGAAGTGTTTAAACTGTGTAACTCAAACTTTTGCCCAAAAACTGTCCATATTATCTCGTAGTAAAAGAAAAAGAATAAGCATTTACGCTTATTTATTCTTCCGTTAGGCAAGTAAAGCGGTGCTCCCCTGCAGGATAAACACTACAATAGCCCAAAATAATACCAGTTAGTTTCTGCTTTGTCATTCTAGACTCTGAATGATTCTGGTCATTATTCTCTCTGTAGACTTGTATTCATTTCACAGAGTGAACAAACCAGTGTAGCACAAACTAACTGCCTTTAATCCACTGAAATCCTGTTAGAACATCTACCATGGCTTACCTCAAGCCACAGATCTTTAACTTATACATAGGGCAATGCATCTAGTGTAGTTAGCATGACACAGGAAAAAGTGCCTCGCTCCAAGGAGTGAACTGTTGTTTTTGGAGTAAATGTCGTCTTTATCTGGATTGTGGCAATAAAGTGACCTCGTGCACTTTGCTTTGACTCACTGCACTGGAAAAAAAGCTAGTGTGTTTAAAGCTTAAAGCTAATGTGTACATAATTTCCATAACTCTGTTACATCAACACAATTTATGCAAAAGTAAGTAAACTGAAAGACTGCAGTTGTGTTGATACATCATTTATTTTAGGATTATTGGGCACCATTTAGTTATTATTATTATTTTTTTTCAAAATCTTCTTGCTTTTCCAGTAGATTGATTTCTAATAAAAGACAAGGTACAGACGAATCTTGTAGTCAATAACTTGTTTTGCAAGCTGAAAATAATGTCCTAACACTTTGATTTCCCTAGCTAAGCATAAAGCTGCATTAGCTTTACCAGGTAGCAGTTGAACCCCAAAGCTGTGTTTCTTAGGTTTGCCATTTATCTGGGCAACATTGCTTTAAGGAGGGTTTGATTTCAGCTTAAAGGCATATTAGTTTCCGAATGTTTTGATTATTCCAGCTATACGTAAATCTCATTTAGCTTCACCAGCTAACAGTTAAACCCTTTAGTTATGTCTTTAGACAGTAGTAACTTACTGATGATTTGAGTTCAGATTTAAGGCAGAGTGCAAACTGGTCATCTTCTGGTCAGTGCAACTTTTTGCAAGCTTGAGGATTGTGAAGGAGTGCACTAATGCTGGGACTAGTCTTGCTAAACATAAAGCTGAATTAGCTTCTCCAGCTAGCAGCTGCATCACTTAGCTCCATCTTCAGGGTTGTCATTTTTACACGTACCAATGCTTCATTATATGATATTTTGATTTCAGATCACAGACGTAGAGCGGATTGGTGATCTCCTGGTCATTGGAACTTTTTGCAAGCATGAGAGTAACGCACTTCTGCTAAGACTAGTCTTGCTAATCATTAAAGTGAATTAGCTTTACCAACTAGCAGGTGCACGGCAAAACCATGTTTTTAGGCTTGCTATTCAACTAGGCACCGTTGCCTAGGTTAAAGTCTTGGTGCAGTTCTCCAGTTGGCATTTTTCTGCATGCTGAGAATAATTTCCTAATCCTGGGATTAGAATATACGTTGTTAGAGAACTACGTAGCATCTAATGGAAACACACATTGTGGATCTATCATTCATTAGATAACAGTTCTGTTTGTCAGAACGTGTACTGACTGTTTTTAAATGTAATCTTAACCTCTTATTCTCCAGGGTATATTTTGGTTTGTCCATCTAAATTTACATGACCAAATCGTAAGGCAAATTATTCAGTAACTGTATGAAATAAATGCAAATTTTTATTTTATTTATTTATTTATTTTTTGTAAAAGCTCCCCTCAAATTAACAGATACATGAGAAATATGTCCTGACCTCATCATTAATGGCCATGCTTATCAAGTAGCCCCCAGCAAGCTGATGATGCCCATTCTTGTCTGCCTCTAAACAGCCGTCAGTGTGTGTAACTCTAGTTGCCCTCTTTAACCTGAGGCAAATGTGAGGCAGGAGGGCTGCATGATCATTTTATATTTTATTGTTCCAAAGTTTACTTGTATCACAAAAAGCTGAAGAATACAATTGTATGAAAAACATCTACAAGGTATTCAGATCCAGAGGTCTGCTACTCGACCTCAGCTAAACTGGGCCTAACAAAATGTTGGATTTCTTCACATACAGCATCCAGCTTGGCTCAGGTTTGGTTTCCAATCAGTGCTTTTCCAATGTAATACATTTGGGTTTATTTGAATTACAACAAAGCGAGTCAGTCTTACTTAACTGTCCACCATAGACGAAATAAAAAGCTCACTAAAGGAGGAATGTTTAAAATTCCAAGCGAGATGGCGACCTGGTCATTACATCAGATAAAAAGCATGTTGGTCATGTACAGAGTAGCGTCTGTAAAGACGCTAGTAATCTTGATAGTATCTTGAGCTCTGATAGCAGGTAGGCTGGCATGTCCTCTCTTCAGTGGCACACTGGTGCCACCAATTTGCATATTGCTAACTGCATGTCCGTGTAGAATACACTTGATCATGTGGTTTCTGACACTGTATGACACACTGTTATTGATAAACATGGACTTAATTCTGGACACAGTTCAGTCTGCAGGACGGCTGCTGTTACTATTGTTAGCTCTGCAATGTGCTTTTAAAATTAGATCTATGGAGTGCTTTAAAAAGTGATTGGTAGGAGGGTTCTTAAGTAGTGATTCATGCCTTTTTACCAAGCAGTGAACTGTTCACCAATATTTATTGTGCATCCTACAGTTGTGAAGTGTTTAAACTGTGTAACTCAAACTTTTGCCCAAAAACTGTCCACATCATCTCGTAGTAAAAGACGCTTATTCATTCTTCTGTTAGGCATAAGAAAAGCATGAACCAAAGTAAAGCAGTGCTCCCCTGCAGGATAAACACTACAATAGCCCAAAATAATACCAGTTAGTTTCTGCTTTGTCATTCTAGACTCTGAATGATTCTGGTCATTATTCTCTCTGTAGATTCGTATTCATTTCACAGAGTGAACAAACCAGTTTAGCACAAACTAACTGCCTTGAATCCACTGAAATCCTGTTAGAACATCTACCATGGCTTACCTCAAGCCACAGATCTTTAACTTATACATAGGGCAATGCATCTAGTGTAGTTAGCATGACACAGGAAAAAGTGCCTCGCTCCAAGGAGTGAACTGTTGTTTTTGGAGTAAATGTCGTCTTTATCTGGATTGTGGCAATAAAGTGACCTCGTGCACTTTGCTTCGACTCACTGCACTGGAATAAAAGCTAGCTTTGAGTTTAAAGCTAATGTGTACATAATTTCCATAACTCTGTTGCATCAACACAATTTATGCAAGAGTAAGTAAACTGAAAGACTGCAGTTGTGTTGATACATCATTTATTTTAAGATTATTGGGCACCATTTAGTTTTCAAATTAAATTACAAATAATGTTGTAGAAAGGTTCATTCATGTGGCCAAGAGGCATAAAACCAAACACAAAATAACAATGTTTGATATTTTTAATATTTTATATTTGATCATTTGATTAATATCTATGTATTACTGCCATTTTTCATATGTATTTATTATCATGTAATGTCATATCAGGGTATCATATATTTAATAACCTGATAATACTTATTAACAGGTAGATTTTGTCATTTTGTGTGTAGTTTTGTATTTTTTATTTTTTTAATGAAATTCTTGATTGTCAATGTGACCTTTTTTTAATTGAATGCAGGTCTTGGTGATGATTATAGTGAGAGAGTGTAGAAATATTATGTCATCTCTTGTAGCACCATATACTGTCTATGTGCTGGACTAACTTGTTCATTCCAGTGATCTGTGTCACTAAAATCAGCAAGTCTGGGTGAAAAGGCAAAAATATAACATCACTGTTAGGCCTGAGTGTCATTCAGAATCTGATCCGATACCAGTTCCTGAACAGTCATATGTAAAATGTCAAAAAACCAAGAAAAACAAAGTTAACTTGAATCAAGCAAAATTATCTGTCAGTATGGAGAGTTATACTTAGAGAGATTTCTTAAAAGTATTAGTAAAAATTTAATTGGTTTAAGGTATAGTGGCTAGATTTAAGTAACACTATTTTGATCTGAGGTTGTAATAATTATCTAAATTTAACAAAAGTAGCATATGAGTCTTGTTTTAAGCATTTTTTGAAAGTTCATTTGGCTTGAGAATGCTTGAACAGCTTCAGCTCAAAACTAGAGAATCTTTGCTGTAAAATTCACAAAAATGTGCTTAAAAGTGCCTTGAATCAACTCTATAATGCTTAAAATAAGATTCCTGAAAATACTACTAAAAATGAGACATGCAAACTTTCACAGGAATGACAATAACCTGCTTTATTAGCTCCAAACAGATAAAAAAAAGACAGAATCTAATAATTCTTTTTGCTCATGTGGTGGCCCAGCTAACACTGAAATCCTTAAAAGCCAGAACGTCTTAAAAATGATTGACAGATCTTGCTTTTTTATTTTGAGATGAACAGGCAACACTAGATGTTGTACGTATGAGGTTTATCACTATGAAAGAGGAAATGTAAAGACAACTTCTGTCATTTTAAGAATGCAATGTTTTGGACGATTATAGAGCTACACATCTGTCCGGTTAAATTATGAAAATAAGTAAAGTTTTCTTGAAATTTATTCTTTTATAGTGTAGAACTTCAAAACTGTTCAGATCTCTCAAAAAGTTTCTCATTTCTTTTGTGTAAATAAGATAATTCTAGACAGAGATTCTAAAAGCTGGCTGATTAATCACATACATACAAATGTAGTCTAGAATAGTTTATCTTTGAATGAAAAAGCAGTGATTTTAATCATGAAGATTTCAGGTTTTTTTATTTGTTTATTTGATTTGTTTAGTTTTTGCAGTGTATGGACAAATCTTCCTTCTGGATTTTGAAACAAGCAATTTTACTGGCTCAATGACGCTAAAAAGGCCAGCTATTTAGGTTCTGAAACTTGGTGTTGAATGACAATGATTTTGGTGCTGATGTAACTTGGTACTGCAATTGTTGAATTTAATACTCAGCCCTGATCATGATACTGGAAGGCATTTGTGCAGTGCACAATATGGATCACAGTATATGTTTTTTCTGAGGTTTGAGGTCAAGTTGGAACAAACAGCAAAACAAAAAGACTTTGAAAAACTATGAGTTATGATTTTTAATTAACTCTATTATTCACTAACTACTATGGATTATTCAGTAGCCTCTATTAATTATTTAGGAAGAAAATAATGTGCACAATCTGTGGTTATGAGAGTGCAGTGTGGACCAAAGGGTCCTTGCAGTTCAAGGCACTGAAACTTCTCACCTATTTTGTGGACTCTGAACTATTGTGCGATGACACCACTGCACACACAGAATTATATAAGAGCTCACAGTCAGACCGAGTTGAGCTCAGTCTGCCTCAGTGTTGCTGGGCTGGGCCCTTTACTGTCACATTATAGTCCTGGCAAAAGGGGTTTTTGAGAGGCCTGGTAAGAATGCATTGTGTTACAGTTCTGGGGCTGCTGGCTTTGCTCTGCTGCTCTTCTATAGGGACAGTACAAGGGGGGAAAATAGTAGTCATGCCTGTGGACGGCAGTCACTGGCTCAGTATGAAGATTCTGGTGGAGGAGTTGTCTCAGAAAGGCCACGAGATGGTGGTTTTGGTTCCTAAGGCTAACTATCATATCCGGAATGGCAGCTACACCACTAGGACCTTCAAGGTACCCTACACAGAGGCTGATCTGGATGCTTCAATAGATATGATTAAAAAGTGGATGCTGAAGGCTCCAGGACTTTTCAATGTTCCAGAAATGTTCAAAATAGGTATGAATTTCACAGAGTTGCAGGTGAAAGGCTGTGAAGCCCTGCTGTATGATGAGTCTCTGATGAGGAGCCTGCGGGAGCAAGGCTTCGATCTCATGCTAACTGACCCTTTCCTGCCTTGTGGTACGATCATCGCTGATGCTTTCTCGATTCCTGCCATTTATTTCTTGCGTGGGATCCCCTGCGGACTGGACCTGGAAGCAGCCCAGTGCCCCTCACCCCCTTCTTATGTCCCACGGCTCCTTACGGGAAACACAGACACCATGACTTTCCCTCAAAGGGTTAAGAACATGCTCATGGTGGGAGTCGAGTTGATCCTCTGTCAGACTCTTTATGGCAGCTTTGATGAACTGACCAGCAGATATCTGAAGAAGGACACCTCCTATAAACAGCTTCTTGGTCATGGTGCGATTTGGTTCATGAGGCACGACTATACGTTTGAGTACCCTAAACCCCTAATGCCCAACATGGTGATAGTTGGAGGCATCAATTGTGCCAAGAAGAAGCCCCTGTCAGCGGTGAGTAGTGCTGAACAACATCTGTGTTTTTCTCTTTATAGTTTGATTTGATCAGAATTTGACTTAAAATGTCAGCACTGTGGTAGATTTAAGGCATCAAAAATGTTGAAAGAGTTACCAAACTTGTGTTGCATCCATGTGCTAAGAACAGACTCGGTGTTCGTCAGCCAGTGTTGACAAGTGCACCATCACCCCCTGCTCTGAGCTCTGCCTTCAGTTTCTCATGGTTTCCCCTGTGTTCTTGTTACGAGATCACGTCTGACCACATGAGAGAACTTCAGGGCTGCTATGAATTTCTAAAGGAATAGTTTGAAAAATCAGGTTTACACAGTTTTTAACTTACTCCAGATGTAGTCAATCAGCTGAGACCGGTTTGTCTCCACATTTCGCTTCTTTACTTTAGAGCTGTAGCTAAAACGCTAAAGTTGCTAACAAATCCTAGAAGTTAATAGTCATACAAATCTTTTCCTTTAATAGATCAACAAAACGTCTCTAAAAAGCACATCCAGGTCTTTTTTTAAGGTCACTCAGACTTTGGATGATTTGCTCCAGAGAATTTTTACAGTTGACAGTAATTGGAAAATTGTTGCCAAAGTATTGCTTTAAATCAGATGTATGCAGCACATTAATGCTTAGACTAGCTTTGCTGAGCTAACTTTACCAGTTAGAAGTTGCACCTCAAAACTGTGTTTTAAGGCTTTTATTTCAGATTAAAAATGTGGTGTAGTTTGTTTTGTTTTTTTTTTTGTTTTTTTTTTTTGCAAGCTGAGAATAATTTCCCAGTGCTTTAATTATTCTACCTAAACATAATTCTGAATTATCTTCACCAGCTAGCAATTGCACCATCTTCAGGCATGTGGGGCTCAACAACATAGACACTTCATGTATTTTTCTTTGTCACCTCTCTGTAAACACTATTGCTCTGCTGACAGTTTGAATTGAAGGCATTGTGCAAACTGGTGGTCTTCTAGCAATTCTTCTTGTAAGCTGGTAATAATGTTCTAATGCACTGATTAGAGAACCTAAACATAAATGCGATATTAGATTAGGGTTACTTGAGAGCTATGCAGCATCTAATGGAAACACACTGTGGATCTGATGTTCATTAGTTAACAATGCTGCCATTTAAGCCTGTTTGTCACCACGTGTGCTGACTGTTTTTAAGTGTAGTCCTATGTCTGAGCACAGCGTGCGAGATGCTTATCTTTGCTCAAACATGAGTCAGTTTGCTGAAATTACTGCACTGCATGAGCAATATTTCCTGACCTCATCATTAATGGCCGTGCTTATCAAATAGCCCTGTCAGCGAGCTGATGCTGCCCATTCTTGTCTGCCTCTAAACAGCTGTCGTTGTGTGTAACTCATGCTGGCCTTTTTAATCTTTTAACACAAGATCCTGAGGCAGATATGCTCCATCAGAAGTCACTGCCCGTTAACACCATCAGAGAGCAGGGCTGCGTGATCGCTTCATATTATACTGTTCCAAAGTTTACTTGTTTATCACAAAAAGCTGAAAGAAAACATCACACAAGTATTCAGATCCAGAGATCTGCTACTCGTACCTGACAAAATTATGGATTTCGGGCCGGCTATGGGGCCAATTTCAGCTTGGGTTCTCCTCAGATTTGTTTTCCAGTCAGTGGTTCTGTCATTCCACTCAGCATCTAAAGGAAATTAGCATAGTGCTAACTGCATGTTTGTGTGGAGATGTTCAGTATCTCTAATACCCTTGATTATTGGGTTTCTGACCCTGTATGACTCACTGTTACTGATACACACATACTTAATCATGGACACAGTTCAGTCTGCAGGACGGCTGCTACTGTTTTAGCTGTGCGATGTGCTTTAAAAATTGGATGTATAGAATGCTTTAAAAAGTCTTTGGACAATTCTCCAGCTGTGTTAGGATAAACGAGGGCAGTTTGGTCAACGTAAAAGAGTGAAGAGTAGCCTCATCTTTCTACATTTTCTCTGAAATGCTGCATCCTGCTGACGTAATCTTGTTATAATCAAAATCCAGACTCACTGGAGTCAATCGTGACTTTCTCTGGCTGATAATAAACAACAGATAATGCAAATTAGCAAATAGGCTACTTTTATCAGCTTTCTGTCCTCAGACAGACCAGTGTGATTGCTAGTTTGTCTGACCTTCACTCAGAGATTCACCTCTTTTCACTAAGTAGTGACCCGTTAACCAGTATTTACTGTGCATCCTACAGTTGTAAAGAAATCACAGCCAAAAGGTGCATTTACGCCTATTTGTTCTACAGTTAGACATTAATAAAGCAGGAACCAAAGTGAGGCGGTGCTCCTCTGCAGGATAAACTCCTACAATAACCTAAAATAATACCAGTCAGTTTCCACTTTCAGTCATTCTAGACTCTGAATTCCTCTGGTCATTATTCTCTCTGTAGACTCGTATTCATTTCACAAAGAGTAAACAAACCAATTTAGCACAAACTAACTGCCTTGAATCAACTGAAACCCTGTTAGAACATCTACCATGGTTTACTTTAAGCCACAGATCTTTAACTCTTGAGTGACTGTTGTCCATATATGGTAACTGGAATGCACTTAGTGTAATTAGCATGACACAGGAAACATCGCCTCATCCACTGTTGAGATCTAGATCTTGAAACAAGCAATTTTACTGACTCAATGATGCTGATAAGGCCAGCTACTTACTCCAGGTACTGAAATTGGTGTTGAATGACGGAATGATTTTGGTGATACTGATGTAACTCGGTACCACAAAATTATTGAATTTAATACTCAGCCCTAATCAGGATACGGGAAGGCATTTGTGCAGTGCACAGTCTGAATCACAGTGTCTGGTTTTTCTGCGGTTTGGGTTGAAGTTGGAACAGACAGCAAAACAAAAAGGTTTTGAAAAACTATGAGTACAATGGTTTTTAATGAACTAACATTAACTACTATGGATCATTCAGTAGCCTCTTTTAATTATTTAGTCAGAAAATAATGTGCATGTTCTGTAGTTACGACAGTGCCATGTGGACAAAAGGGTCCTTGCAGTGCAAAGGGTCCTTGCAGTTCAAGGCACTGAAATCTCTCACCTATTTTGTGGACTCTGAACTATTGTGCGATGACACCACTGCACACACAGAATTATATAAGAGCTCACAGTCAGACCGAGTTGAGCTCAGTCTGCTTCAGTGTTGCTGAGAGGATCCTTCACTGTCACACTGTAGTGCTTTCAAAAGGGGTTTTTGAGAGGCCTGGTAAGAATGCATTGTGTTACAGTTCTGGGGCTGCTGGCTTGGCTCTGCTGCTCCTCTATAGGGACAGTACAAGGGGGGAAAATAGTAGTCATGCCTGTGGACGGCAGTCACTGGCTCAGTATGAAGATTCTGGTGGAGGAGTTGTCTCAGAAAGGCCACGAGATGGTGGTTTTGGTTCCTGAGGCTAACTATCATATCCGGAATGGCAGCTACACCACTAGGACCTTCAAGGTACCCTACACAGAGGCTGATCTGGATGCTTCAATAGATATGATAAAGAAGGGGACGTTGAAGGCTCCAGGACTTTTCGATGTTCCAGAAATGTTCAAAATGATTATGAATTTCACAGAGATGCAGGTGAAAGGCTGTGAAGCCCTGCTGTATGATGAGTCTCTGATGAGGAGCCTGCGGGAGCAAGGCTTCGATCTCATGCTAACTGACCCTTTCCTGCCTTGTGGTACGATCATCGCTGATGCTTTCTCGATTCCTGCCATTTATTTCTTGCGTGGGATCCCCTGCGGACTGGACCTGGAAGCAGCCCAGTGCCCCTCACCCCCATCTTATGTCCCACGGTTCTTCACGGGAAACACAGACACCATGACTTTCCCTCAGAGGGTTAAGAACATGCTCATGGTGGGAGTCGAGTTGATCCTCTGTCAGGCTCTTTATGGCAGCTTTGATGAACTGACCAGCCGTTATCTGAAGAAGGACACCACCTATAAACAGCTTCTTGGTCATGGTGCGATTTGGCTTATGAGGTACGACTATACGTTTGAGTACCCTAAACCCCTAATGCCCAACATGGTGATAGTTGGAGGCATCAATTGTGCCAAGAAGAAGCCCCTGTCAGCGGTGAGTAGTGCTGAACAACATCTGTGTTTTTCTCTTTATAGTTTGATTTGATCAGAATTTGAGTGAAAGTGTCAGCACTGCGGTTGATTTAAGGCATCAAAAATGTTGAAATAGTTACCAAACTTGTGTTGCATCCATGTGCTAAGAACAGACTCGGTGTTCGTCAGCCAGTGTTGACAAGTGCACCATCACCCCCTGCTCTGAGCTCTGCCTTCAGTTTCTCATGGTTTCCTCTGGCGTTCTTGTTATAAGATCATGTAGGGCCCCACAATATAACTTCAGGGCTGCAATTTATTTCTAAAGGAATAGTTTGAAAAATCAGATTTACCCAGTTTCTATCTTACCCCAGATGAAGTCGATCAGCTGAGACCGGTTTGTCTACAAATTTCACTTCTTACTTTAAAGCTGTAGCTGAGAGGCTAATGTTGCTAACAAACCCTAGAAGTCAGTAGTCACCCAAATCTTTTCCATAAATACACAAAACGTACATCAACAAAACGTCTCTAAAAAGTGCATCCAGGTCTTCAGTAAGGTCATACATTGAAGTTTTTTTTAGTTTTTTTTTTGTTTTTTATTTTTTTTGTTGCCAAAGTATTGCTTTAGATCAGAAGATCGGATTTGGGCCACTTTTACCTGCTGTGTGAACAGAGCCGAAATTACAGCCAAAAGGTACATTTATGCCTATTTGTTCTACAGTTAGACATAAATAAAGCAGGAACCAAAGTGAGGCGGTACTCCTCTGCAGGATAAACTCCTACAATAACCTAAAATAATACCAGTCAGTTTCCACTTTCAGTCATTCTAGACTCTGAATTCCTCTGGTCATTATTTCTGTAGACTCGTATTCATTTCACAAAGAGTAAACAAACCAGTTTAGTACAAACTAACTGCCTTGAATCCACTGAAACCCTGTTAGAACATCTTTAAGCCACAGATCTTTAACTCTTGAGTGACTGTTGTCCATATATGGTAATTGGAATGCGCTTAGTGTAATTAGCATGACACAGGAAACAGGCATCGCCTCATCCACTGTTGAGATCTAGATCTTGGAACAAGCAATTTTACTGGCTCAATCATGCTGATAAGGCCAGCTACTTACTCCAGGTACTGAAACTTGGTGTTGAATGACGGAATGATTTTGGTGGTACTGATGTAACTCGGTACCATACAATTACTGAATTTAATACTCAGCCCTAATCAGGATACGGGAAGGCATTTGTGCAGTGCACAGTCTGAATCACAGTGTCTGGTTTTTCTGAGGTTTGGGTTGAAGTTGGAACAGACAGCAAAACAAAAAGGCTTTGAAAACTATGAGTACAGTTTTTTTCTATGAACTTCTATGATGTTATTCACCAATTATTATAAATGACTCAGTAGTCTTTATTAATTATTAAGTAA